ATTAATCCATAAGTGCAATATATTGCTTTTAAAAAATTCGATAAAATGCATTTTTTCTGATATTAAGATATTAGATACACCCAACATTTTAACCTATATCCTCTATTTTATTCCCAGGGCTACCTGTTCATCTCGGTGCTGGTCAACACGAATAGCGACCTCATCCGGCTGATCATTCAATCCATCAAGAATGATTTGCAGTCGCGGAATCCCGTGCATGTGAACCTGGCGCTCCAGTGCATTGCCAATATTGGCAGCCGAGACATGGCCGAGTCCTTTTCCAACGAGATACCCAAGCTACTCGTCTCGGGCGACACCATGGACGTGGTAAAGCAATCGGCGGCCCTGTGTCTGCTGCGTTTGTTCCGCTCCTCGCCGGACATTATACCCGGCGGCGAGTGGACCTCACGCATCATCCATTTGCTCAACGATCAGCATATGGGAGTGGTGACAGCGGCCACCTCGCTGATCGACGCCTTGGTGAAGCGCAATCCGGACGAGTACAAGGGTTGTGTGAATTTGGCGGTTTCACGTTTATCCAGAATTGTGACGGCCAGTTACACGGATTTGCAGGTGAATAATTGTATTTTATCTTTAATTTAATTTAATTTAATTTAATTTATTTATTATTTATTTTATGATATTTTTTAGGATTACACTTACTATTTCGTGCCGGCTCCTTGGCTTTCGGTGAAGCTTCTTCGCCTGCTGCAAAACTACAATCCGGTCACCGAGGAGGCGGGCGTTCGTGCTCGCTTGAATGAAACGCTGGAGACCATTTTGAACAAGGCCCAGGAGCCGCCAAAGAGCAAGAAGGTTCAGCATTCGAATGCCAAGAATGCTGTACTCTTCGAGGCCATCAATCTGATCATTCACAGCGACAGCGAGCCGAATCTATTGGTAAGGGCCTGCAACCAGTTGGGACAGTTCCTCAGCAACAGGGAGACCAATTTGCGTTACCTGGCTCTGGAGTCCATGTGCCACCTGGCCACGTCGGAGTTCTCGCACGAGGAGGTGAAGAAGCATCAGGAGGTGGTTATTCTGTCAATGAAAATGGAGAAGGATGTCTCGGTACGTCAAATGGCAGTTGATCTTTTGTATGCCATGTGCGATCGTGGCAATGCCGAGGAGATTGTCCAGGAGATGCTCAACTATCTGGAGACGGCAGACTACTCGATACGCGAGGAAATGGTGCTCAAGGTGGCCATTCTTGCCGAGAAGTATGCCACGGATTATACTTGGTCGGTATTTACAATGAAAAATCCAAGAAGATCCTTTATAATCTCCTTCATTTTAGGTACGTGGATGTCATTCTCAATCTAATACGCATTGCCGGCGACTATGTCTCCGAGGAGGTGTGGTATCGCGTCATCCAGATCGTTATCAACCGCGAGGAGGTTCAAGGTTATGCCGCCAAAACCGTTTTCGAGGCCCTCCAGGCCCCCGCCTGTCACGAGAATATGGTCAAAGTCGGTGGCTATATTCTCGGAGAATTTGGCAATCTTATTGCCGGGGATTCTCGCTCGGCACCGCTGGTGCAATTCAAACTGCTGCACTCCAAGTACCATCTGTGCTCGCCCATGACCCGAGCCTTGCTCCTCTCCACCTACATCAAGTTCATCAATCTGTTTCCGGAGATACGCACCAACATCCAGGATGTGTTCCGCCAGCACAGCAATCTTCGTTCCGCCGATGCCGAGTTGCAGCAGCGAGCCAGCGAGTATCTGCAACTGAGCATTGTGGCCTCCACAGATGTGCTGGCCACTGTCCTCGAGGAGATGCCATCGTTCCCGGAGCGTGAGAGCTCCATACTGGCAGTGCTGAAAAAGAAGAAACCCGGCCGAGTGCCGGAGAATGAGATCCGTGAGTCAAAGAGTCCGGCTCCGCCGTCTGTCACGCAAAACAATGTGCATGTGAACAATTCGCACAGCAAGCTGAACAACAGCAATGCGAATACGGATCTCCTGGGGCTGAGTACTCCGCCATCGAATAATATAGGCGGTGGTGGTGGCGGCGGCAACAGCACGCTTATTGATGTCCTGGGGGATATATACGGCGGTGGCAACAACAACTCGAGTGCCGTGTACAACACCAAGAAGTTTCTGTTTAAAAATAATGGTGTTCTCTTTGAGAACGAGATGCTGCAGATTGGTGTAAAGAGCGAGTTCCGTCAGAATCTGGGAAGATTGGGACTGTTTTATGGCAACAAGACACAGGTTCCCCTAACGGTGAGTAGAACTCTAGTCTGCTTTTGATTTACATAAATTTAAAACGTATAATTTTCCTTTCTAGAACTTTAATCCTGTGCTGCAATGGTCCGCTGAGGATGCTCTCAAGTTGAATGTGCAAATGAAGGCTGTGGAACCGACCCTGGAGGCCGGTGCCCAGATCCAACAGCTACTCACCGCGGAATGCATTGAGGATTATGCCGATGCGCCGACTATAGAGATCAGTTTCCGCTACAATGGCACCCAGCAAAAGTTCAGCATCAAGTTGCCGCTGAGCGTTAACAAGTTCTTTGAGCCCACAGAGATGAATGCCGAGTCCTTCTTTGCCCGATGGAAGAATCTAAGCGGGTAAATATATACAAATTCCTTGAAAATGATTAGATTTAATCAGTTATTACTTTTGCAGGGAACAACAACGGTCACAGAAAGTGTTCAAGGCGGCGCAGCCTTTGGATTTACCTGGCGCCCGCAATAAGCTAATGGGCTTTGGCATGCAGCTGCTGGATCAGGTGGATCCAAATCCGGATAACATGGTCTGTGCGGGCATTATTCATACGCAATCCCAGCAGGTGGGCTGCCTGCTGCGATTGGAGCCAAATAAGCAAGCTCAGGTGAGTTGTAAAAAAAGGCTAGACAGCTTTTAAGAAACAAGAACCAAGTTTTTGTTGAGCTGAACTTTAAATCCTTTCTTTCTTTTCTTATTTTGCAGATGTTCCGGCTGACCATACGCGCCAGCAAGGAGACGGTGACCCGGGAGATATGCGACCTGCTGTCGGATCAGTTCTAAGCCACAATCAATATATGGACAGGAGAGAGGCGGGTCGAGATGGAGCCACGGCAACCACTTTACAATGCACAATCCCAATCACCTAGAGAAAAAAAACAACAAATATCAAAAAAGCAGAGAGCGTTTAGTTATGCCAAGCAGCCACTCCTAATCTCTCTTCATACGTACCTTTCATCTTCTCCAGCAGCAGCAGCAGCAGCAGCAGCAGCAGTGAGTTGTGCGGAGTGAGCTATATCCCCCCCTATACGTGTCCTGTTTTCTGTTTCCACTTGAACCCTTGATTTGAGAAAATTACTCGTATTTCTAACATTTTCCACTGTCCACCCCCCACGTATCAGAATTCTTTGTAAATGTTAAGCTCAAAAAGTTCATAATAGTAGCGAAGCGAGAGAACATAATTAGATTATGTTTAAGTGTATGACAAATTATATATTGTTGCATCATTTCGAGGCAGAGTAGCGATTGGATATTATATACCTATTACACAGCAGATATACATTCATACAAGCCACATACATATACCTAGTATATACGTCGTTGTAATAAAAAACAAGAAACAATACAAAAACAAAAACAAAAGGTAATTGCTTGCAAAATGACAAATATGCAAATATGCAAATCGTTATCTAAATATTTATACATATATATATTGATTATTGCAATTGCATCAAAACGAAATTCATGTTTAGTGTTTTTTGATTGTAAAGAGATCTGAATTATGAGGGGAAGTTGCAGCAGAAATCTCATTAAATAATAGACAAATAATTAGAAAGAGAGGCGGATCATTAACACACTCTTTGATTAAACCATTGTTGAGCAAATTGAGAAAATTTAACGAAAATCAATTCAAGATCTTATATTATAGCTGAATTTTTCGATTGATGATCCTCCTGTTGTGTCCTCAGTGTACTATTTCGTTTCGTATGTGTACCATAGCTAAGGTGAGGAGGAGACAACAAACTACATAATGATCGTTCTATATAGCACCAAGTATTAACTTATCCGCGAAGCCATACCATCTGCTGGAGACTCTCCCTTCTTCGGTCGAGAGAGACGGGCGCCAAGAACAAAGAATTGTAAACTAAAATATACATTATATAGATACTGATACTGAATACCGCGATATACCGATGGAAATTGTCATCTTCAACTTATAAACACTAAAAAAAAACTCTCAAGCCCCTTTCGTATCAATGTGCATGTCAGTTGGAAGTTGGAAGGAAGCCCTTCTCTTCCTTCAAAGTGCAATAGTTAAATGTTACAAAATTCCACGAAAAAAAGATTCCATTAAACACACACACACACTGCAACATGTGCGACTACAACAGCAACAAGTACAGAAACCACAACTACATATAGCAAATGCAGGAATTTAACTGTAAAACGTAAACAAATATGTATTTAAATAAATAAATAAATATAAATTGAAACCATTTCAAAGTGTTATTTATACAAAATTTGATCAAGGGGTTAAAATTAAAAGAAAAATTAATACAAAAAAATTTGTTTAATTCAAAAAATTACATAAAATATATATACATTTTTAAAATTTGATAAAAGGTTAAAATTTAAAACAAAAAAAAAATAAAATTAATTGTTTTAATTAAAAAAATGTTATTTCCAGATTTTTTAACCTTATAAAAACTATAACAGATTTAATTTTTGGCTTAGCTTTAATATTTTTAATTTTTAAAAAATTCACTAAAATGTAAAAAATAATAATTAATATTAATTTAAAAAAGTTTTCAAGGTCCACCTTGAGGGAGGGTACTAGATTCTTAGAGCTTTTCACGGAGAAGGAGTTATTTCCGAACCCAAAAATCATATATATTCTTGATCAGGATCAATAGCTGAGTTAATCTTGCCATGTCCGAAGGAAAAACAAATTTTAATAATTTTTTCAAAATTCTATAAGGGGTTACATCGTTAAAATTTTCAAAAACTGACCAAAATTTTTGTTTTCTAAAATATTTAACTCTGTATACAGAACTTTTAACCTAATATAAACTAGCAAAAAACTGTTTTCCGATTGGAAATTAAGGCTTTTTTGGCTTAGTTACGATAGATTCAAATTTCGCTCCTTGGTCAAATTGCAAGGGTATACAAACATCAGCAAAGTTAGTTTCCTTTCTCGTTAAAGTTTTTGTTTTTTTTTTTTAAATCAACTTTATTATAAATCATACAATGAATAAAGATAAACCCTAACAATAATCTAAGATCATAATCCACCTAAACCTCGTTCAGCTTGAACCTGGCATTGATGTTAACCGAACTCAGTTCGGTGACCAGGAACTTGAAGGAAAACGGAATCTCGATCATGGACACTGAGCTGTTGTCCCCGCACAACCGGCACATTTCCGGCTGGGAGGAGAGTCCGCCCGTCTCATTCCGCTTGACAATCTGCTGGAGCGGCGCCAGAATGGAGCCACACTTGTGGCACACCAGCGTGTGCGTCTTGTCAGAGTTGTGGAACAGACGATCCTGCAGCAGGAAGGCGGCACCGTGAGAGATCAGAGCATCTCTTTCCATCTCTCCAAAACGCACGCCGCCACCCCGCTTGCGTCCCTTGATGGGTTGATGGGTACGCGCCTCCACCGCTCCCGTGGAACGCACCTGCCACTTGTCAAAGACCATGTGACGCAGTCGCTGGTAATGAACCACGCCAAAGAATATATCCGCCGTCATTTCACGGCCATCTACGCCGGAATATAGCCTTTCCGTGCCATAGTAATTATAGCCACCCGCCTCCAGCATTTTTCCAAAGTAATCAATGGCCGTGTTCTCCTCGGAGAACCTGAAGGGCGTGGCATCGTAGACACTACCGTGCATGGCGGCACTCTTACCCGCCATCGTTTCGATCATCATGGCAATGGTCATACGGGAGGGGAAGCCATGGGGATTGAACACAATGTCTGGAATCAAGCCGGACTCCGTGAAGGGCAGATCCTCGGCAGGATATTTCTGTGAGCAAATACCCTTTTGTCCAGCTCGTGAGGCAAACTTGTCGCCTATCGTAGCCGGTCGTGGCACTCTCAACGTAATGGCCACTGTTTTCTTGGGCGTAAGGTCAAAGGTTCCCAGCTGCCGGATGCTGTCCACCATACAATCCTCCTTCTCATCCATTTTCACCACCTTATAGGTGGCCACCTCCCCATCAAAGTAGCAGTACAAGGGGTCCCCACAGCTCAGCTTGGAGCCGGGATGTGGCAGGCCATCGGTGTCCAGGTACTTGGCCAGTTCCGGCATGTGCGGATGCCGGGCAAAGTAGCTGCTCTTCTTGTCCAGCGTCACAAACTTGGTCTTGTAGATGCTGCCATAGGCAAAGCCTCGCTCATAGGCCGCCTTGTTGATAATCATGGCATCCTCCATGTCGTAGCCCGTGTAGGAGATGACCGCGACTATGGCATTTGTGCCCATGGCAAAGTCATCCAGCTGGATGTTGTCATAGTGAACGGGTCGGAAGAGAGGCGAGGCTGGAGTCTGAAGGCGGTACAACTTGTTGGCCGCCTGTTTGGGCCAATTGAGGCACGGCGTGCCCATGGTTTGTTTTCCCATCTGACACTGGTACATGTTACGAGGCGACTGGTTGTAGTCCGGCATGGGAATCAGGTTGGCCAGGTTGCTCATGAAGTGCGTCTTGGCCAGCTCCAGGTGAGTGGTGAATTCCGGATACATCTCCTTGGGATCAATGGCTATCTCCATGTATAGCTGCTCCAGGGTTCCAATATACTCCACCTGCTTCCACTTGAGGTTCCACACGGGACGCATCATTCGTGCGGGTCCAGTGGCCAGGAAAAGACCCGGAAACTGGCCGTTTTTCTTAAACGGAATAAAGCCAATCTCCATCATCTGGGGAAAGGTTCCAACAATCTTGCCATATCTCAAATCCTCAACAATCTTGGTGGCATCCGATTGATGAATGTATCCAAGATGCTTGCCATCCAGGAAGACCACATAGAGCTTGGCATCGGGCTCTCGCCGGTTGGACAGCGGCAGCATGCCCATCTCTATGAGCTTGGAGGGTATGACCTCCACCAACTTGGGATCTGGACGCTTTGAGATCTCGCAAGTTAGCGTGAGATGATTCAGCAGACCGCAAGGCGTGCCATCGGGAGTGTGAACCGGGCAAATGAAGCCCCAGGCATCGGGCAGCAGCTGACGGGCCTCCGTGGTTCTCATCGTTGTGAAGTAGGAGCCACGATGAATGGCCCGGAAGTGGGACATGTAACGCATTCGGTTAATGTTCTCCGCCATGATGACCAAGCCACTGTTCTGCATCAGACCCAGGCCCGTGCGACTGGCTATATTTCCCGTGGCCAGGAAGGACTCCATGGAGCGACCCACTCCTCCCGCCTGCCGCATGCACTGAGTCATTATGGCGCTGGTCAGCAAGCTATCCGGAGTGTTCAGTTTCTTTTGGAGACAGCGGCGCACCTGCATGGCCCAGGATTCAACCCGCTCACCCAGATACTTCTGGTAGAGATGACCCGGCAGGAGTACTTCCTGCATCATCGCCGAGTCAACGTTCTCCACTCTGTGCTTGCCCTGGGCGCATTGGAACAGCTTCTGGATCATAAACACAATCAACTGGAACTTCTCCTCGTAGGTGTTCAGGTGAATCATGATGCGTTCCTTGAGGATAAAGTCTGTGACATCTTCGTCTGGCTGCCACTCAGGCACCTCGGGGAAACGCGAGCGGAAGAGGTTGCCAATGAAGCTCCTGCACTGCGAGTGAGTGTAAACACTTTCATTCTGGACTTCCCGCAGCATGCTCTGCACACAGGACACATAGTACTGATCCGATTCGTAGCCCTGGACGAGTCTGGTGTAGATCTCCTCGTCCGTATAATCCACCAGGCACTTGAGGATGAGGCACACGGGCACATACGACAGCCTTTTCACGTGGGAGAACATAAACTTGGCGGTGCCATTGTTCAGATAGTGGAGTACATTGCTCAAGGACGACTCATCCTCACGGACAGTCTGGACTAGCACTCCCAGGTCGCTGAAGTTTTGGCCACGATCCTTCCACGAAGAACGCTTCACGCAGATGGGATGGTTTCTACGGGTCATGATCAGCATACGGACAATCTTCTCATTTCCACGGATCACGAATATACCACCCCACTCGCTGTCGTGCTCGCCGTGCTTCACCATGTCCTTAGGGCTGGCTCCTCCCAGATTACATGCCTTTGATCGCAGCATAATGGGCAGTTCACCGAGATCTATGTTGATGGGGGTCTTCTCCAGACCATTAACACTCCAGCCCAAACGCACGGAACACATGCCGGAGTAGGAGACATGCAGCTGTCGCGAGTCTGTGGGGTATATCTCACGTGTGCGCACATCAATCACATCCTGGGGCACCTGTGGCTTTGCAATCCAAATGGCTTCCACTTTGAGGGTGATTTTCTCGCCAGCGGGACTCTGCCAGTAAATGGGAGTCATGTTTTTGGCTACGTAATCCAGGCCTACGGTAAGCATCTCGTCGAAGGAGTCCACATGGGGTGCTCCCAAGTTGGCCAGGTGCTGTCAGAACAACGAAATGTTAATAACTATGAGTGGAGGTGGGAGCTCTTTTGGTTGTTACCCTGCTCAGCTTTTTGGGTATCTGCTTGAACTCCGGCCGAGAATTGGTCAGCACCGGAGTGGTCTTCATTGTTTTCATCTCCTCCAGCATTTTGCAGGCTTGTTTCATTTAGAAAACCACTCAATAATAATATAAATCAAATTGCGTGCCGTTGCACGTGTTGTTTTGAGTCGGAGCTAAAATGGAACTGAGTCAATTTTAAATGTGAACCAGTCAGAGTGAGGTGGTTCCCAAAAAAACTTAATAAAAATAATTTAAATAATATTTGAGATGGATTTATACATTAATTGTTATCAGAAAAAATATATATTTCAGTTAATTGATTTAGCACTTAATTATTATTAATTTAAATTAAAATTTTTATTGTATTTTAATAAAAAACATTTGTGAACTGGAACTTCTGCTGGTTCCAAAACAACTTTCGCTCTCAACTTGTTCTCTCGCAGGGCTGCCAACTAGAGGTGGAGAAACATCGATGTTCGGGGACATCGATGTTTTCGATGTTTTTGGCGAAAAACATCGATGAAACATCGATGTTTTAAATAAAAAAAATTAGCAGTTATATTAGTGTATATGAACTTTATTATAATTTGTAATATTAAAAAAATAAAAGACAAATTTTCAACAAAAATTCAATTTTTTTAATCACTTGTTAAATGAAAAAAAACAAAAAACTAATTAAAATAAAACTTCATGATATTCATGTTCCACTTCTTTGGTATATAGTTTCTTTTTCTTAGTTTGTAAATAAAAACTAAAAACAAAAACAAATTTAATATCAATTAGACATATACGCCGCCGCGCCCGCCGCCGCCGCCGCCGATTTTTGCCTTATTTGACGCGCCGCCGCCAAATTATGAAAATAACGGCGCGCCGCGGCGCGCCGCTGGTCGGCGCAGCTTCAGCGCGGCCTTCAGTGTCATTGTTCTTTATAAAACTTTAAAAAATAAATAACTCATTAAAATGGCCTTTTTGCCTTATTTGACGCGCCGCCGCCGCCGGTTCTTTCTGACTACTACGCCGCCGCCGCCGAGTCTTTTGACCTCTACGCCGCCATGCCTTTAACCATCGGCGTAAACCTCTAATATCAATGTTTCAATATATACATGGTCCAAAGAAAATAATAGTTTTTTAGGATATTGCTATCCCGAACTCTAGTATATATATTTACATATTTTTCCATGTTTGTTTTTGTTTAAGGAAGAGGAGCCGCGTGCGAAGCTCACTTATAAGTTGTGAAGCTTTACTGAAAACTCTTTCAGATTCGTGCGAAGATGCGAGAACGCAGAAGTATTTTTTAGCAAACGTTTTAAAGGAGTCGCCATCTGTAGTAATCTAAAATATAATTAATACAATAAATAAATGAAAAAACATCGATGTTGCCCCGCTAAGCATCGATGTTTCCGATGTTTCGAAAACATCGATGTCATCGATGTTCGCATCGATGTTTCTCCACCTCTACTGCCAACTCGTTTGTTGAACAGCTGATGCTGCGTACGCGCGTGAAATGTGTTCTTATCAGTGAAAATTCAAAATTTATCCAATTTGTGAGTTTTTAAAGTTCAATCCCAACAATAAATGGCCCCACAGCTCCTAATTCACATTCGCACATCATTCGCACATCATATCCGGTGAGTGACGCTTGTTATTTTATATGTAAGACACCGGCTATTTCGGAAATGAGATTTTGCAGCAGGATGTGAGGATGTGTCAACGTGTTGCTGCTTCTTGTCCCTAATCAAGTTGTTGCATTGTTGTTGCCTCATCTACATAAGTCAAAACCCTTCTCTGCATCCCCTATTTGTCTGCCCGGATTCTTGGCCGCAAAATATGCGGCAAGTTTGTTGCATTATTTATGCCCGATTCCTGCTGACTGGCATGGGAATGTTTGTAAATCTCACATCCTTGGGAATTGCAGTGGGAGAAAGGAGTGATTTTACAGGAAGCATTCTTCGGGTATAAGGACAGATTTTGTTGGAGTGCAAGAGCCATCTCATCTTCATACATTGTCCTCTGGTTGCCTTTCTTAACTTTGACTTTGTGCCCAAAGTTATTCTAATTAAACGCAGACTCTGTGAGCTGAGCGTGCTAAGGATGGCATTGCCTCATATGGTTAGCTGGCTGTCAGGATAATGAAGCAAAGTCTGAAGCTTCCTTTTTGGATATTAACTTGGGGCAAGATGAGGCCTAGGACAAAGAGGGGAAACTTGCCAAGAATACAGTAGAAATGGTAGAACTTCCACTAAAAAATTTAACACTCAATTAATTTGATATTTTATCTTGAAAGAAATCTTTTAATATTTAAGAATATAATTGTAATTAATACTCCTTAATGACAACAAATTTTATAATAATTTTTAAAAATTTAAAAAATTGTAATTATGGAAAGTTTGACTGCTCCCCAGCAAGGACAAGTCTGAGGCCTTGGGGTGGGCGGTCTCAATCTGAGCCCAGCCGCTTCGGTTTATTATTCCATTATAATGAACACAATGCACATTTTCCTGCAACTTTTTCCGGGCACCCTGACTGTCCTTGGCTGCCTCGTATCCTTCTTCTTGCAACTTGCAACTTTCGTTGCACATTTGCCTGTGTGTGTGCAATCTCTGTGAAAGTTGGGGGCGGCGGGCACAACTTTTGCCAGGCGCTTCAAGTTTTTAGCCGGTTTTTTTGTTGCCCCTTTTTAGTCGCAACAACAAACAACAGAGAGTGTGAGGCAGGAGACACCAAGGCAAATTGCATTGTTGATTTTCATTTTCAAGCCTGGCGACACTTTGCCAAATGTGTGCTTCCCCCTTATCATCTCCCAACATCCATCCCCATGCTTTCTCCTTTGCTTCAGAGTCATTGCTGCGTGTTTCCCCACGTTTTTTTTTTTTGGGAGGGAAAAGAAGGAAAAGCTGGCACAGCCTGGGCAAAAATCAGCTAGCAAATGCATTTTCATTTGAAACTTTTCCGCGGAAGTTTTTCCTACGCACCCTTTGGCTGCTACTGTCACAAATTGGTTAATAAAGGGTACAGATAGATTATCCTTTGTGGGCAATGGTAAAGGGATGTGGGTCAAATGGTCATCTTAAGTGTAGAAATAGGATAAATGGTAAAAGCTTTTGTTTTCTATATTAATATAATATGCCTTTAGGGGGACTTGAAGAGTTTTAAATGATAAAAGCTAGCTGATTAAGTTTTAACTGTCTTAATACTTGCATATTTTACTTTTTATTTACTTTATATTCACCTCAAATGTTTAGTTAACTATTTAATTCTTCAATTCTATAAAAGTTACTACAAGGTATGTATTATATATTAAGATAATATGACTTAAGGGTTGCTTGCAAGGGGTTTAAAATGATAAAAACTAGTTAATTTAGTTTTTACTATCATATTACTTTGAAATTTTACATTTTATTTACTTTATAATCCTCTCAAATGTTTATTAACTTCACCTAATATTTAATTCTTTACTTCTACGAGTTAAACCCTCCAATCTATATCCTTTTCTGCTTCATACCTGAGAGCAATGACCTTGTAACTGTTGCGAAACCATCCTTGGCAGCGTCTTGACACTTGGTCGTGATCTTCATTGTCTTGCCTTGCGCCGATGTGGCAAGAGTTTTGTTTTGATTAGTCATAATTTAACTGACGCGTGTGTCTAAATTTAAACGCCAATCATATGACATATTTGTCTAATTAAAATGTGCATTGGACCTTAAACAATAATTAAGGGGAGGAGGGAGCATGAGTCCTGGCTAAATACTCAGACTATGTCTTACCCACAGACCCTCCTCCTAGTCATAGTTTCCCTAAAAACATTTTATGCGAGAGTTGGCCATCGAGAGAAAAATAAATAGAATAGAGGAGAAGAGAGTCCACGGTGCGTTAAAAATAGCCAAATCTATTCGATGTTTTCTCAGTTTTTCCCGAGCTGGCCAACCGAAAAGTTCCGTTCGAGCGTCGGAACGGATAGAAAAATTTAGATTTCGAACAAAAAATTTTCCAACGCCTCGTCGAATACATATAGAACTTTATCATATGTATACTAGATAATTACTTTCGTTACTTTGTTTTACTTTTGCTGTAAAGTGTCAAGTTTACAACGACTTTTATTTTAACGAACTAAACAAAATAGTTAAGCAAAAAATAAGTTTCCTGTGAATAAGTGAAAGTCAATATAAAATTGCGAAATCGACAAAACTCGCGTGTGCGCAGATATATATATATATATCGATATTTCTGTGTGTATATATGCTTGCCATATCAATTGGAAACGATCTGTAGATCTGCAGAACGGTGGATCACCGGGTTTTCTTTGTGCTCTGACGAAGAAGAGTTTTTCTCTTGGGGAAAAGTCGCATTAAGGCAGATCGCAAATCGTAGATCGTAAATATAACGCTTGCCAGACGACGAGCAGCAGCATCATCACCATCTGATTTTGCATTGGTAAACAGTTCCCCACAACTGCATACCAGAACGCTGTTTCTCGCCTTTGTTCTTCTCGGGGAAAAATGGGAAATTCCGAGTCCACCGAGTCTGCAGATGAGGCGCAGTTGCAGCCCCAGCAGCAGCGGCAGGCAAACGTCGACGACGAGCCCTGGTGGAACGACATAGAACACGAAAATCTGATTCTGGAGCAGGCCCCCCAACCAATACCTAGAAACCCAGTGGAGGCGGGATCTTCCTTAGCTTCTAGAGCAGAAAAGGCAGAGAAATCTTTGGCAATAGTCTCTGAGGCAGCTCCAGCAATGGCGGATGACTGCCCAAAAAAAGAACAAAGCCTGGAGGAATTCAGGGAGGAGCTGCGACAGAAGAGAGAAGCTCGCCAAACTGCTGTGCAGGATCTCCGGGATGAGATAACAAATCTTAAGCAGCAATTGGCCAAAGAAAAGGCCGAGAATCGCCGACTACGCAAAGAGCAAGGTGTGGAGGAGGAGCTACAGGATCAGGATATCTCACCAAATCCAGACATAGATCCCGATGACGACAATCCCACTTCCCGTAGTCGCCATGCCAATATAGAGCTGGCCAATGCCCAATTGTCTTTGCAACAGGCTCAGGCCGAAAATCTTTCGCTGCGTGGAGAGCTGGAAGTGGTCCAACGCCAGGTGGGCACCCTCAAGGAGGTCATCTCCTGCTGCAAGCAAATGCTAAGTGTCAAGGAGGAGCAGTGTGCTCAGGTGAGACAGAAAGTTTATTGGGTAGAATTTTAGTTAATTTTTGATGTTTTTTGTTTCCAGCTCAAGGTCAAGTTAACTGAAATAGAAAACTCCTTCAGCGAGCGTGAGATGAAGATTATGTCGAATAATCTCCGCCAGGAATACGAACGTCAATTGGTTAACATACGTCAGCTGAGGCAACTTTATGAAGAACGTCAGCGAGTGGCGGCTGCTGAGTATGAGAATCTGCAGCGTTTAATATCTATCAAAAAGGATGAACTTATAGCAGAGCAGGAGAAGTAGGTATAGAAGCTATAGAAGCTTAATTATATTACTTAAGATATGTTTTATGTTTTTTTAAAGAACCAAAAACTTTGAGGAGCGCAATCAGACCCTTATGAAAGAGGTGGAAACAGCCAATGAAGAGCTGGCCAAGTTGCGTGAGGAATGCAACGAGCACAAGTTTGAGAAGCGTCTGCTTAGTGAGCAGGTGGGAGCTGTAAACATGGTAAGTGAATCTTCCATAAACACCAGCCTCTCTTTTAACCCCTTCTCCCTTCCATTACAGCTCTTCAGCCAGCTCATCATGGGCTTCAATGAGAAAAACAGCCTGGACATTGATCGTCTAAATCAAATGCTGGAGGAGAACCGTCAGCTACTCAATCAAATGACCCAAGCCGAAGGCAGTTGCAGTGATGGCGCCACGTTGCCCAAGCTGCTCTTTGAGCTCGTAGAACAGGCCACTGGTCATGGCGACTCCCCCGTGGAATCGGACAAAAGTCGCAGCGCCACTCCCACGCCCACAAACGAGGACACCACAGACAGTTGTAAACCAGAGGCTGCTGCTGCACTCGTCAGGAGGCACAGGAAGAGGAGCTCGGGTGCGGGGGGCAGTGCGGCTTCGTTAAAAAGCCATGAGCCCGAAATTATGGGAAAAGTTGCTTCGGCCCAAGAAATCATTGGCAACTTGCCAAAAGTTTGGAAAGTGTTGATGGAGCTCTTGAGCCACCACAAAATCGAGCGCGTGCAGTTCGAGGAGCTGCCATCCTGCAGTGCAACCTCAACTGGTGTTGCTCCTGTTTCCTCTGCTGCTTCTGGAGCGGACGGAGGGCCAGAGGATACCCACCGCAAGCCACCGGAGCTGAGCGTCAGCAAGACCTACATCAAGCTGAAGGTGAGCCCCAGTTACAGTTGCTGCAGAGAGAGAAAATACTTAGTGCTTCTCAGATTAGGTTTTTTTTTTTTGATAATTACTTGGTTAATATTTTTATTTTAACTTTTTTTTAAACTTAATTCGTAATTTTAGGGCGTAGCAGGTGGTAGTTATATGTGGGAGGTATTTTTTAGGGATGTATATTAAGAACAACCACAAATATAATAATACATCTACACAATTTTATTGAAATGAACGTAAAAATCAAAATTAAAAGTAACAAAAGTATTGGAATTTATCTTGGAATATTTTGAATAATGTAGATAAAATCAGAAGTTTGCAAAATGAAGTAATTTTCTTATCGATATTAGGCCTTTTTTTTATAATTTTTTCTCCGTATATAGACCCAGTTCCGCCAACTACTCCCTTGCTCCTTTCAAGTGCTGCGCACAATCGGGCTTGTTAGTTGTCGTATCCGGTTTGCTGATGAAGTGCAGCCTGCTTCCCGCCTTCCTTGCCAATGTCTGCCATTCCCCTCTCAAGCCTCCTGTGGATGCTCTCCCCTTTCTTTTTCGCTGCTCCTTGGAAGCTTCGTCTGCGGCTGTTGCAAAGTTTTGCATTATTCACTTAAGCGCTTTATTTAGTCGAGGGCCGAGCGGCCAAGCACGAGCCTGAGCTTCATTATTGCTGACGTCCTGCCGAGCATCGATGTAGAAAGGAAGTGCGGAGGAGGGAGAGTGGGATGCCGGGATGCCGGGTTGGGGGTCCAAGGTCCTTGCAGTCCGAGGCCGAGTCCGTTGTTGTGCACATAATTGAATTTATCGGTCAGTTGCCGTTGGCACAAAACATGTTGCATATCTGATATCCTTGAAAAGAGAGAAAGAGAGAGGAAGAGACTATTCCCATTGCGTTTTCTTAGGGGTTAGGTGTTGTTTGCTGGAGATGAAGGATTAGTTTTTATGGGTTCATTAAAAAAAATTAATGTTTTTTATAGTTTATTTATATTTCTTAGCCTGATTCCATAGTATTCAAGCTTCCTTTCCTTTATTTTCACTATAATTATTTTGGTTTAAACTCTAATTGAGTGAAAAGTTCGGCCATCTCTGGCTTGGGACAGAGAGCACTTTAAAAGTTTTCAATCTCTCCCACTTAAGTAGCATCCGCAACTAATGCCTTTTTCGCCCTCCTTGGCAGGACCTCATCCTGGAGAAGAAGTCTCTGGTGAAGGAGACCAGCCGCTTGAAGACCCTAAACAGCCACCTGGACTACCGCCTCAACGAGCAGCAGAAGCGGTTGAGTGCGGTTAGCTTGGAGCTAACCAAAACCTGGCATCTGGTGGGCAAAATGCAGCGCCAGCATCGCCAGCTCCACACCCAGGAGCAGATCCTGCGCTACCAATTGCAGCAGAAGAGGCGACTCTTGAGCGAACTGAAGGACGAGCTGGAATACTGCCGCAGAAAGTGGGCCTTGGCCAGGGCCAAGAACGATGAGAGTCAGGAACAGTGCGATGAGTGGCGGCGAGAGTTTGCCAGGAGGAAACTCGAAGATGCCAATCATTCGGCGGAGAGTGGCTACAGCGATTCGGGACCTCAGTCCGATGAGGAACGTGAGGTGGCAACAGCAGCTCCCGTTGAGGCGGGAGCCTCATCATCCGCCTGTCGTAGGAAGATTCTGAGGGATCAATTCGAGCATACGCGCAGGATTAAGCGCATGCAAAGCACTTCACCGGGACGACAGGCCGAGGAGATAGTACTGCGCTGGAATAGTGCCCCACCCACCTGTGGCTGGCGGGAAGAAGCTGCAGATCCTGCAGGTGATGCAAGAGGAGGGGGAGATAGTGAAGAGCAAGATCAAGAAGAAGAGGATGGAGCACGTGGCGGTGTTTACAGGACCCTACACACTTCTAGGAGCAGGCAACGAGCGGAGGATGATGCTCCTGGCACCTCAGGAACCGCCAGTCGCATTCAAAAGCTGGAGGAGCAGTGCAAGAACCTCATCCAGCAGGTGCTAGAGACCTCCGATAATCGTGAACGTCTAGAGATTCAGTTGTGCCAGTTCCAGGACGAAATCTCTCCCGCTCAGCATGCAGTGCCTCTCGAGGAATTCATCAATAAAAAGCGTTTCGAGAGGATGACCAGAGCCAGTTCGGCCCCTGCAACCGGAAGTCTCACGCCCAGGGAGGAGGAGTACACCAGGAAGCGCTCGGAGCGATTGGGTCGCCTCGAGGAGGAGTCCCGCCAGCTTATATCCAGGATTAGGCGCACTGCAGACAGGGGACACTATCTAAAAAAGTCCCTGGACAGGATTAGAAGGATACCAAGTCGCGAGGGAAGCTTTGAAAGTAACACCGAAGAAGAAGCGGCGGCAGGATCATCTTCCCAGACATCTGCCTCGCCACTTACCACCAAAGAGGAGGCCTATACCTCCAGTAGAGCGGCGCGTCTTCGGCGTTTGGAGCAGGAAAGCCAGCAGTTGATGTCACAGCTTTCCAGAAACAACGAACGCGGCGACAGCTTGGTCACCAAGCTGGACACTCTGCACGAGCATCAGCAAAGTCGAAATCCTGGGCAGGAGCAGCCCCAGACCTCGGCCAGCATCTCGCAGACTCTAGAGCAGCGTTTGGAGGACATTGAGCGAGTATCAGACAATAGAGCCGAGCGTCTCCGTTTGCTAGAGGCGCAGGGCAATGAATTGATAGCTAGGTTGAGCTCCACATCCCAAAAGGGCACCGCCATGATCAACAGGATAGCGGAACGCGAAGCCATACGCCGCCAGGAGGCCGAACTTGTGGAGCAAACGCAGCCTTCGGAGGAGGCCACCACATCCTTGAACTCGGTGGCCTGCACTAGGATTGTGCCCAAGCCGGAAGAGGAGGCGGAGGTTGAGGGAGCCGCCTGTTGTGCCACTGTGACCACCACCTCGACTCAGTTAGCCATTCAAAAGCAATCCACGGGAGCCATTCCCAAAACAACGACGATGATAAAGAGCAGACCGCAGGCCCACCTGTGTGCAGCCTCACGACAGGATGATGTGGCCAGGAAGCGATCATCTGTCAAGGAAGCTGCCAAGGAACAACAGGAAGCCCCTGAGACTCTAGAGGATATGGTGCAGCGACTCAGAGCATTGCCTTTTCCAGAGGTAAACCAGCAAGTGCAGTCAATGGAAGTACGGAAGTCAGAGGAACTTGAAGATACGGAAAAACAGGAGCAGAAGGAATCTGCTGAAGAGGTAAAGAATTTTGAGGAATGTGGAAACATAGACCTTGATATATCCAAGAAGGAGCAAGAGAACGCTCGAAAGGAACAAGCTGAAGGCCAGCAGAGGGAAGACTCAACACCTGAGGAACGAGAAAAGGAGGATTTACAGGAGAAGGACCTGAAGGAGGATGACCTGAAGGCGGAGGACCCTGAGGAGGAGAGCCCGAAGGAGGGCCTGGATGAGAGAGAGGAACAGGAGGAAAAGAAAACCTTGGACGAATCACCCTAAAAATGTTCACTAGACTTAACTACGACTACGAATACTCGCTGATAAAACTGCTAGGACCAGTGACCAAACCACAAACAGCTATTGTTAATTGTAATCACTTGCGGTAAATAAATAAATATATTTTTTTCTTGTCTACAAATGTATTTCCCTTGAAATATATATTTTTTTTCTTGTCTACTCATATATTTTCTTCCTTTTTCTACACTTTTCTCCCACTATAATATTTCCCCTTTAAACTAATTCATTTGATTTTCAACCTTATCTCCTTTCTGAGAAAAGTAATCTCGTAATCCGTTTCTATCCGACATCCCACACCCTGGGCATGCTTGCATGCATATATCACTAATCAGCAAAGAAAGTGGAACAGTCTGTCCGCATCCGTGTCCTTGGCTCCCAGTTGGCAGTTACCAGTTCCCAGTTCCTTGAAACGGACACGGACTGGCTCGTCTTTCCTGGGGACTTATGTGCTCTCTTAGCCACGCACGCAGCCATGACATTGCACGGAGTAAGGAGCACGGATACTGCCACCGACACTGTCTCTGCCACTGCTAGTGACATGTGTGGGCGCTTGGCAAGGACGTGGCCATTGGGTGGCAATGGGTGGCGCATTATCTCTGCATATGCAAGTATAAAAAAAAAAAATTCCAGCGTCCGCTAACAAGTTGGCGACATCGTCGTCATTCGACTCCGTCGCCCGTTTTATACTCTTTCGTGGAATCCGTAACCTTCTCCGTAGTCCCCATATCCTGGCTGCTTTATGCAAATGCGTGGCCCCTCCTCCTCTCAAGGCGTGTAAACAGCAATTGCTGCTGGGTGGGTGGCGGTGGCTGAAGTCTGGGTCGACTCTGTTCAGGCATAAAGACAACATCGTCTCATATGCTTTTAAAGCGAACAGAGATTGTACATTAACTTATCTGCTGTCTTCCGCCCAACAACAGCCAAGCTGTCAACATAGCGGCAGCAAGTTCTCAATCTGATTCTGATATATATATATAACAGAGTTCTGTAAAGGATTTTATATTTATAACAGAGCTCTGTAAAAACAAAGTCCTCTTGGTTCTACATTTAACAGACTCTGTTTCTGCTTTCAATGTTAAGCTTTCCAGGACTCTGTTTAGTGTTCATTATGCGAGTTAACAGGCTTGGTTTGAACTACCCCTGGACAGAAATGAACACTTCCAGTCGTTACTTAGGGGTGAGTCCTGTTGAGAGAGCTGTTAAGGCTGTTAAGGCTGGAGTTTTTTGTGAAACAGGGAAGCTTTATATGACCCAATTTCTTTGAAAATGTTGAATTGCAACATGTCTAAGGGGATGAAACATCAACAGTTGAAAGAGGTTGGAAGAGGGTTTCAGAAGCTGCAAGGAGTTAATGTTGAGGATTTAAAAGGGATTTGAGAAAAGGGATGTGCATTATTAACATTACTATCTTCTAGCTACTTTTAACTGGAATATTGTGAATTAAAAAATAAGTTTGAACTTATTTATAATATATTATTTTAAGCTAATTAGTTATAATAATTTTTAAAATTTGACTTTCCAACTTAAGTCAATTTTAAAACATTATTTTAATAGTTTAAAAAGACTTAATGCATCTCCCAATCCCTGAGATTAAAACAAGTGTTAATTAAGGGTCTTAAAATGCTATTAACATCACACTCTTCAGGGACAATGAAAGGACCTCTGCAGCCTGCAACCTGCAGGACCAGCTTTTCCCCTGGAACATGACCAACTTTACAGCGTATAAGACTGAATCCAACCTAATCGCCATCTACTGGAATCTTCAGAAACTGGCCAACAGTCCAGATAGCTTTCAAAAAGCTTTCAACATTTTTGGCTATGGAATGAGACCAAGTAGAGTCTGCATAATTAGATGGAAGCCACTGACTGGTCCCATTTTCTGGACTAAGTGCTGTGGGACCCCGGCCACGCCCCTCACAGCCGAAAAAAAAGGCAAATGCCTCCTAAAAATGTATACAAATTGTTGCACCGTTAACTGGTCGCCGGTTCCAGGGCGATCATCCCGCTGGACTGCAACTGGAAACGTCAAATTAATAAACTGCCGGACGTACCACAAGCTGTGAAAAAGCAATCTTTGTCTGCATGCCAGCCTCGGAGTGTTTTCCAGCTTGTTAGTCCACCTCAAGCTCCAGTCCAGCTGCCTCCCGTCCCTCCCGGCGGCTTCCCCAGATTTGTAGGGTTACCCAGGCCCGAGCCTTTCAAGATTTATGCAGTTCGCGCGGATGTCGGAGATCCGAGGAAGCGCCGCTGTTCCACTCCGAAAACCAAATAAAGAAGTGCACTTGAAGAAAGGGTTTAGGTTTTTGATATTTATCCTTTAAGAAGGATATTAATATATCTAGAGAATTTAGTAGAATAATATAAAAATAAATTTTAAACAATAAACTTTAAGATATCCCTTTCTTTTTAGCTTGGCTCTCTAAAAGAACTGAATGTTCTTGCGAAGAAAAATTAAACAAAATATATATTTACTTATTTTAAACATATTTGAAGATTAGACTTTTTTCCTAGATTTTTAGGGATAACATTTTGAATGCTGACTGATCTTCTTCTAAAAAATTTCTTCTTTTATAATAAACAAGACTGTTTCTTCTTTCTCCTTTCTCTTAGTAACAAATTTCTTAAACTAATAATATTTTATTCAAGATCAAGTTTAAATTAATATTATTTCAAGTGTTCCATCGAAGAGTAATCTAATTTATTAAAAGTGCAGCCTCTGCTGGCTTCAAGAAAAATAAAGGAGAGGGCGCGAGAGCATGTCTCGTTTGGGTTTTGATTTACGCTGAAATAAATTAAAATATCATAAAAAGGAAATTAAAATTCACTCGCACAACAAAGCCGGACCCGACTCCCGACCCCGACTCGATTTCGGAGCCCGACTGGGGGCTCTTAGCTAATTTCTGAACAACTAAAAATACAAATAAATATTTTAATGTGTGATTTACGACAATGGCTCGCACAGGGGGTCGAGTCTTCTCTGGAGTCTTTTCCTCGAGCCCGACTTTGGCCGGAGTTCTGGTGTCTTCTGGTGTTGGTGGCGTCTTGGGCAGCGTTTTGATTGGATTTCTGCGCTTCTGGCGCTCATGGTGTGGTGTGCCAAGCCCGATTTCGAACCCAGGTTTCCACATTGAAATACAATTTAAGCGCCTTTAATGAACTGACAGTACAGCAGCAGCAGTCGATTGAAGGGAAGTACAATGGTGTGGGTTGGTTTTTTTAATGCAAAATCATGTTTAATACATAATTTAAGCTGATAAATTAGGTTTTATTATATTAAATCATCATATTTAACAACAAAATAATATCCAGCTATTTTTTAAGATTTCTTATTTGGATTAAAGCCTTAATATAGGCTTTTAATTATTATTAAAAAATTTTATTTAAATCTTAAAAACACTCATAAACCAAGCTACCTTTCTCTTCTCGCATACCCTGTAAAACTAGTAAACAAATACCATTTAAACTACTGTAGATTTCTGACGAAAGCTGCAAATTTTATTTAAATTTGCAAATTATTTTTATGGCTCTCAGAGAGAATACTGTTATTGGCACATCAAGTGGGACAAATTTAACGATCTCTTTGCTTCACATCGTTTCAAATCATACGGAGTTGGGTTGCATTAATGGCTGGCGATCAATTTCAAATTTATGCTCATTCCCCTTGAGCGTTACCCGGATTTTTGCATATGAAAACGAGTAACGCTCGTAAAGTATATCGCATCCGAGTCACCGAATATATATAGGGGGGCAGACCGAAAATGGCCTGCAATTAATTAAAAAACCATTGACATTCATAAAAAGTAAATTGTGGCAACAGCGAGCGGAAGCAAACATAATGTCCCACCATTATGAAATTCATCAAACAGTTTTACAGCACACCTCCCCAGGTAATGGTTTCTCCTTGGGACGAGAAGCGTCGCCTTCTCTCTTCGGTGCCGAGTGCCAAGCGATGAGTACTTATTAACAGGCTGCGACGAAGCATATCGATCGTTGTTTCGATCCCAAAACACCTGCCAGGCACATTTTACGTTAAGGTAGAGATGAGATCGTGAGGCGTGAAAGGGTATAGCTAGATATAAGTTAAAGAAAAGGAACATGGGAAAGGCTTTAAATAATTTCCAGAAAATTTCAAGAGAGCCTGGAGAGACAGCTCCTTTTCTATACTAAAAAGGAGAGTTTAACAATTTAGTAAAAAAAATTATAAAGGGAAACTTATCACACCTACTCACCTCTATCTCAGGGAGATGATGGAGTAGAGCTGCCACCTCTAGCTGAGCCCGTTGGAGGTGAGCTGCCGATCGGTGTATCAGCAGCCTCCTGATGCTGTCGCTGATGATGATGGGCATTTGGGGCTGGTGATGGAGTTGGTTATGGTGATGGGACGCGGCGGCAGCAGCAGCAGCAGCCCCCAGCCCGGCTAACGAGCGCGAAATAATGCGCGAAATGTGGAGCACAGAGATGGCCCGAACTGTGGAGACTCGGACCCCAGAAAAGATACCCAGTTTGGGGGATTCGAGACCTGAACCTGCAGCGTCTTGGCAACGGTGGCGACTGACAGAATTATAATCAATTAGTGGAGCGACCGCGTGAGCGCATAAAATTATATATTCCGAGGCAGCGCGCGGAAACCGCTGGCCCGATCTCAATTCGTGTAACGCGTAGCGCAATTTAGTTTAAATTAAAATAAATTCAATTACGAGAACATGAAAATCCATTACGCAAATTATTGTCATTAAATGTGCAATTTGGCCGCTGAGCGTTTATGAAATTTTTGATTAAATTTCTGACGCTTCGCTGGAAGCAATAACCCCCGGCGGCAGAAGCCCGCGATGCGCGCGAGTCAAAACGAAAGACTCAGGCAACGAACTTGTCGGAGACCTGCACACATGTCCGCCCATGGGCCGGCATATAAAGAGAGACGATTACGATGGCGATGGCCGCCGCCGCCGGCTGGCTAATTAATTAATTATAATCCCAGCGATTAGCATAGCCCCGTAGCTCACCAGGCAGCCAAGCCAAGCCATCCAGCCATCCAGCCAGGCGCTTTCATTCATAGATCTCCTCCAGTTATCCAGTTTCGGGCCAAGTCACACGCCACTGAAACGAGTTAGACTTGCTAAACGATTCGTTAGATAAGATATGGGAGTATATATATATATGGAAGCGATCGCATATGGTCAGCTAGCTCATTCACTGGCCGGCTTAGTCAGTTACTTAGTTAGTTAGTTGGGGAGTGAGTGAGTGAGTGACTGACGCGCCTGATGGGAACACGCTGCCGAGTGTCGCACTCAATTTGTTTAAGCCACTCGAAGCTTAATCCGCTAATCAGCAAAAGCTTTGAGATATGGCCTATGATAATCACAAGTTAATGGGATAAACTTGGGTTATATTTTGGAATTTTTAAACAAGGTTTTTGTTGAAGTTTTTTTGGGAGAGAAAAAGCCTTCTCAAGCCTTTTTTATATCCTTGATTTAGTGAAAAATAACTAGTATCTTTTCAAGTATAGTTGAATAGGCTTACACAATTTAAAGAAAATAATTATTCACAAGGTTAATACCTTCTTATTCACTCTTCTCTGCGAGCAATGCCACATCTCCTTTTATCCTGCCATAATTTTTATTTACCCAATTTAGCTTTGGCCTTTTTTTTCCGGTCGTTCGCTTAGTGGCTAAATGATTGCTGGGCCAGAGCAGCTGCAGTCCGGCTGGAAAATTGCTAGACCAAACAAAAACCAAACTACTTAGCCGCACACTCGCCGCATCGGTAATTGAAAATCGATAATCTCTTTGAACCAGTTTGGTCTGCTGATCTCTCTGCCAGAGAGCTGGCTTGTGGATCCTCCAGCCAAGTTGGCTCTTGTGCGCTGGTTGCCCCCACACCAGACCTCGGAACCGCAAATCGTCTGCAAATTGTAACCACAGATGGAGGTGGAGGTGGTTGGAGGTTGTAGCTAAAGCTGGAGCTGAAGCTGAAGCTGGAGGGGATGACAGGGACACTGCCAAGGTTCGGGGGAGGTGCAGGCAATTGCGATTGATTTTAGCACGCTTAATGGTTATTGGTTTAGCTATGGCTGGATCAGGAACTGGCCAGTGATGATGATGCCTCCTCGCCACGGTAATAATCCTCTCCTGCTGCTGCCACACCATAAATTACAAATAATTCGATTTACACAAGATTTTCACTCTTAATGGCCGAAAATGGGCCCCGGCCGTGAAAATAATGATGAAAACAAACAAAACTTAATAAGATTTTAAGCGATCTGTTGCGGGTAATGGCCCAGCATGATTGAAAAATCAGGCAAATAGCCGAGGAATGGCCCGAAATGTGACCGAAAATGTCCGAGACTCTGCGGCCAAGGAGGTACGGTGAGGAGTCACCACGTTGTTGCCACATTTGCCACATTAAGCCATTAAAGTTTGGCTGTCTCTGCTGCTCTCGCTCTTGTCACCCAAATGCCGCGGATGCCCGACTAAATGGCAAATTAGTGAGCCGAGCTGGCTAAAAAGGTAGGCTTTAGGCCGCTTCCTTTTTTATTTCGATTTTCGGGAGAGACACACCCAAATATGTCAACGAAAAGTGCACGGGAAGAAAAGTACAAGATGTTTGATATATCGAAAAATATATCAATATACGTTTTTGCCTCCCTCTCTAAATATTTAACTTCCTGTTCCCGATTTCTCCCCGTGCATTCTGGGGCAGCTGCTGGCTGCGTCCTATTTAATTTCACATTTTACAAGCATATTTTTATTATGCTGTTGCTCTGCTGCTTGTCAGATTTCGCAGCGTCGCATGCCACAGATGCCTCGCCGAATGGCAATTTTAATTTGTGGCAAACTCGAATTATAATTCGCATTGCAACGTGGCCGTTGGCCGAGTTAATTACTTAGCCAGCAATTATCAAGGGGCAACAGTAGCAGGCAGGCAGCTCCACTTCAACGGCTTTTGTTTGTGATCTTCAAACTCCAATGGCCGGGTTTCTGTTTCTGGATTTCTTTATTTTGTAGAAATTCCTCTTTCTCCCTGTTTCTCCGTCTCTCTGCGGCTGATCCGGCTGATTAGCCTAATCTAATCTTGCACGAAGCAACACCTACGAGCTTAATCAGCTCATTATCGATCCTAATGCCAGCTACGTGGGCCTGTCCCTCGATCGGTTTCGGTTTGGAATATGGTAATTCGCTAAGCGATCTCCGATCTCTTACACATGTTGCTCGCCGATAAGCTAAGGAGGCGTAGATAATGCCCGGACCAGAGACTTTTATGTTTATTTAATTAGCGCATTCATTCCGACAACTCTGCTCAAAGATGAGACTCGAATTATGAATTCACGGCCTGGGCCTGGGCCCGCATGGGAATGGGTCAGTAGGATGTTACACATTGGTCTATATACTATATAGGGAGATATGCCATATGTCATACTAAGTAAATCTGTGGGAATATTTTATTCTAATTATGGCTATAGATGGCAGGGGATAGCAGATAAGGAAACGAATTATAAATGTTGATAAAATCAAATGGGATATTAATATTTGAATTTTGGTTTGTATTTTGTGGTAGATCTATGGGAGGAGGGATTACTTTGTATGTGGAAGGAGGTATTATAATTAATTTAAACAAAACTGCTTGGGGAATATATAGTTCAATTTGATTTTTTAGAATTATTATGATAGAATTTAAATAAATTTAATCATTTATATTGATTTTTGAAGGAAATTTTCTTAGGTAAAACGTTTATAGTTGCCTTTAAAATCCCAACTAAAATTCTAGGTAATTTTTATATTTCTATAAAATCTAGTAACCCTCTCCGAAACTCACCTTAAGATCCATATTTTTGCTCTGAACATCTCTGAGCTCTCTGCCTTGCGTGCAAGGAGTGTCCCGCGTTGTGTCTCGTGCTAAGTTGTTGTTGCTTCTGCTGCTGCTGCTGTTTGGCTACCAATTGCAACACTGCCTCCACCCCAGGATCGGCAACCATGCCCCACTACCCTGATCGTGTCGATAAGGATCAATGTTCAGCTGGGCTACATTTTAATATACTAGTCTCTGTTCACGAACGGCGCACGTTGCCATGATTTGGGGCGGTGCTACAAACTCAAAGAAATGATAACTTGAGGTTGCCAAGCTGGGCTCTCCTCCACTTACAGCGACTTGGGTAGACTCTCCCTCCTCCACTCAGTGTGAGTCATCGGTTTGGCCTGGATAATGTCCACTTTATATAGCTTTCCTGGTTCCCTCTGCTCTTCGTTGTCTCATTCGTTTTGTGTTGTCTTTTTGGGTGGCTTCTTCGAGTGCCTTGACTTTTGCTTGTCAATGCGCGACGTCTTCGATAACTAATTGCCACGGCGCCAAATGTTTCTCATTTTGTCGTTCTTTACTTTTTGGGGTTCCGTGTATACTTATATATAATAAAAGTCACATCGTTACCGTTTTGTCGGCACTTATAGGGGTCCCTTGACTTCACTCCAAATGATTTATATATTCAAAATTGTGGCACTTGCTTGGCTAAGCAAAAAGAACTTGACATGCAATGCACTTTAGAGTGACTGTAAAAAAAAGAGAGTGAACAATTATGCCAACAAGTTAATTAGAATCGAACATGCTCCAATTGGACTCTGAGTGGATTGGTCCTGGAGCCAGAGGAGCTGGGAGTCTGTCTTAATTTAATGTATGCAAACAGTGCCAAGACGCAGAGAAATCTTGTATAATTTTCACTGAGATAGAAACAAGAGAAAGGAAGTTGAGCAGGAAAAAACTGACTTACAAGATTTTGACTAACTTTTGGGGGAAAATAAATCAAAAAACTGTTCAAGAAAATAGTTTAAATAAATATTTTAAAGTAAATTAAATATTATTTAAATGTTTTGGTAATTGATTTACCTATTTCTAGCTATATAAATATTCTTAGAGCCAAAAAGAGGCATCATCCAAAGTCTCTCCATCAATAAATAGCGACAAAAGTCGTAAGAAAATGTGATAAGAGCTTGATAATGGCATCGTAAAAGTATAAAATATCTCCTTTTTTATAATGGAAAGTGTGTTTTTGTGATCTTACAACTTGATAAAGCCACATCAAATATAATCTCAAAACTAAAGCTTGGGAAACTCTCCGTTTATCGCTGAGATTATCTCATCGTGTCGATCCCACTATAAACTGCTCTACAAATAAATATATTCATATGTAACTGGATTTTTGATTTCATTCAGTTTTATGTGGCTTTTACCCCTCTCTCTCTCCCTTAGCTTCCCCTCCTCCTTCGACCCTTTTTTCCCTGTGCGTAAGCAGAAAGTTCGTTGCCTAAGTCTTTTGTTTGTCTCAATGAATTTATAATTTCTCGATCGATTCCCAGCGGCCAAGCATTGCCATAACCTCAGACAGATGTTAGGCTGTGATTTTATAGCCAATTTCATGATTATATATGTTTTTTTTTTTTAATTTTCTTTTCAGGGCCAAACGGATTTCGTTTTATGTTTGCAAACGATATTAAATTAAGATTTCTGCGAATTTTCATTGGCATTTTTTAACTGTTTGCTGGTTTCGATTTCGCTTTAGATCAGTGGCTGTTTGCAAATATTTTCGTTTTCAATTTTCATTTTCATTTCCATTTTTTGTTGCCAGTTTTTTAATCAAAGTGGCGCTAATTAGTTTGAGTCGTTTGGATAATTGCAAATTAAACGCAAACTTAATTGCGCCGACACACGAAACACACACAAACATACACACATCGGACACACTTGGGCAATTACATATAAAAAACAACAACAACAACTAAAGCTGCATTTTGTCTCGCAAGGCAACAAAATAATATATGGAGAAAAGAAGGAAAATAAGCAGGAAAAAAATGTTGCCTTCATTGTAGTTACTTGCTTGTGGTTGTTGTTGTCCAGCTGCTACTGTTGCTGTTGTTGTTGTTGCTCATTCGCTGCTCGTGGAATTCACAATTAAGTTAGCGTCGAACTTAAATTGAATTAAAACTAAAAAAAAAGCCACTTTAATCGAATGTTTCTGTGTGTAAATTTGCCAACAAATTAAATGTTAGAATAGAGATGTTAGACAAATAGCTAGCGTGCAGTGAGCGAGTTAATACTTTAATTTTACCTTATTTTTATGGTTTTATTAATTTTTTAATTTAAGTATTTTCTTGGATATTAAAAATCAATTATTTAGACTTTAATTTCACCTTTTGGTATGGTTCTATTAATTATTGGACTTTAAATATTTTTCTAGATATTAAAAATCAATTATTTAGACTTTAATTTTAGTTTAATTTTAAAGTTATATTAATATTTGAATTTATATCATTTTCTTAGATATTAAAAACCAAACTAAAAGCCTGTCAGGGGAGTAATTAAAATGCAGTCTCTTAATGTCAGCGTTAATTAGTCGCCTTAATTAATGATTATTAATATGGTTGTTGCGAGTCCCCCTCTGCCTGGTTGTGTATTTTATGCCGCCCCTCTCGGCTTGATTATTATGCAAATTAATTGTTTCGATCCGAGAGAGAGATCGCTCTCTGCATTTGACGAACTCATTGAAATGCATGAAATGCTCTGTCCAGAAATTATGCAGACCCTTGGAGGCAGCATTCGCCTGTCCGTCGGTTAAACATGATTATCACAGTTCCACCTCATCGCAATTACCAGGCCATGTGAGGAGGAGTAGCCTCTTGGCTCTGGCTTCTTTTTTACTTCTTCGTCTCACTCTTTTTTGGTTCGAAAAAAATGAGCAGCTGACCAAAAAATCTGGTAATCGAATTAGGCAACTTCGTGTTTTATAAATGTTATCATAAATATTCCATTTTATTAATTACCGCGCATAATTCACCAACAAAAGCCAGAGAGAGAGAAACAGAACGACGGACAGTTGGAAGTCGCCGGTCAGAGTCTTCGATTGTGGCTTCCTCTCACTTTGACTTTGGTGTCTCATTAACATATTTAATTTGTTTCTAATTTATTCATAAATTTATATTTGTGGCACCCTCCCCCAGAAGATGATTCTCTTGTTTTTGTTTTTGATCAAGCCTCCCTCCTCCTCTGTTTCCTTTCTTACCATTCCTCTGCGCCGCTCCCCTTCACTCGCTGATTTATGGAAAGACCACTGATTAATGGCAGCCGCCCGACTCCGGATCTGAGCTGGACTCAGACATATCGTACTCGTACTACTCCCCAAGATCTGGTCGGACTGGCTGTGAATCAGTGTGTTCCCCTTCTCCGCTCTCATAAGTAGGTGTTGTTACGCACATTATGGAGGGGCTTTTGTCCATTAGGCCTCGGCTTATGGCTAATTTGTGGGAATTACGAGAAGAAACAAAGAGATGACGAAGAGCTGGCTGTTGTTTGGGAATACTCACAGGGCTTAGATAGGCTGAATTTTTGATTCCAAATTTATGGTTGTGTTTTTTATGGCAGGATTTGGAAGTTATTACACCGAAATGGTGTCAGTAATATTGATTTAGAATACTAAAGGTATGATATTTAAGTGATCATAAAACAATTAAATCATATTGACAGTTTTTTAAACCAATTTACACGTGTTCACGTCTTTTTTGTGACATTGAATTCCATTCTTTAACCTTCTGCTTAGGTGCCTGTTATGAGAAGCGCAGAGGAAGGCAGCTCTGGCAGCTAACACACACACACTCTCTCTATCTTCATCGCTCTCTGTCACTTTCTCTCGCTCTCTGTCTCTTTCTCTCGCTCTCTCTCACTGCTGCTTCTCTCCGTGCTTCTCATAACAGGCACCTAATTCCTTCCAATTCATGGCTCATTCTTTCAATTTTTAACGTTTCATTATCAAGTTTATATTATTTCAAAATAATTTAAATCTTTAAAAACCTTTCAACTTCATTTTACATTTTGAATTTATTTGACAAATTCCGTGTTAAATACATACAAGTGAATAACTTATTGGCTTAGGACTACAGTGAACGGGCAAAGTTTTTGCACTTGGATTTGGGATGATATCCTTCCTGACCATCATGTTCTCCTTGGAAAGCTCCTTCTCTATCTTCTCTTCCCGCTCCTCCAGCTAGCTGACCACATCGTTGCCATGTCCATTCTGTCGCAGCAGCTCCAGCTTTAGTTCATGCTCCCTGGCCTTCAGGCGCAGAGCGGCTATGGAGGAAGTGCGTCTATCCTCTGGCGGCGTGGCGGCTCTAGGTGGCGCCTGATGCTGTGCCGGCGGCGGTGGCAGCTGCCTCTGTGGCGAATGAGACAAGGTCAAAGCCACAGGAGCAGTCTGCGTCGGAGACAGACACGGTGCCTGGTGGGTCAGGGCAATCCCGACCAGCTGCTGAGGCGACAATTGAGCAGGTTGGACACCAACTGGATGTGAAGGAGGTGGCACCTGCGGAGGCGGATGCGCTGGATGCTGGTGCTGGGCGCCATGACCCGAGGCGGGCGAGGTGGGCGGAGAAGCGAGCAGGTGGTTGGGCGAGTGCAGATCGGGGGATCCCACCAGCAGGGCGGTGGGTGGCTTGCCCAGAGGCGGACCACGAGGCACCGCCGTCATATTGGCCAGTAGCGATTGGAAGGAGCTCGAGGGGGAGTACATGCCGGCCATGCCAGGAGGCAGCATATGTGGAGGAGCCCTAGAAATATTGAAAAGAATGGAAATGAATCCCCAATAACCTATGGCGAAGGTTCCCTTACTCACCTCTGGAATTGGTTAAAGTAGCCCGACGGGATCATGGGACCGGCGGACAAGTGCGGATAGCGGAAGGCGGCCAGGTTGGCGGCATGTTGGGCATCGAAGGGTTTGCGCAGCTGGAAGCCCAAATGGGTGAAGGGATTCGGCGGCAGGGCGGCTCCTACAACTGTCTGCATGGTGGCGGCGCCGCTGGGCAGGTAGGGATTATACGGATGCGACTGGGGGCCCACCTTCTCCTGCTTGCGCCACTTGGCGCGACGATTCTGGAACCAGACCTGCAAAGGATCGGCAAGGAGATGGAAGCCGTGAGTTATGTGCTGCTGGCAGGCTACTGTATGCTCTGTACAACCCGTACCCAAAGCCACCAATTAATGGGCGTTGTTATTGAAAACGCCCCTTTAATTAGTTTTTAACATAACAATCTGAATATGGAGGACGCCGGCTTCTGATTGCACTCGGAATGGGTAGTAGTTGGAGTCGGGAGTCCGAGTCGGAGTTATAGTCCAAGTCGCAGGCAAATAATGTTGTTTAGCATGAGCGGTAATTAAAAGGAAGCGACGACTTGCCTGGCCTAAGCCATAAACTGACCGGGCATGTAATGACTGGCACTAAAACAGAATTAAATGAATTTCTCTCTCTCTCTCTCCGAACCGATTCCCCCCTCTGCCTAGTTGTTTTTTAGTCTCCTCCGATTTCATTAGTAGCGACATGCTCCATTATTTTTCAATTTTCAACATTGTTGGCTGCACGTGGGCACAGGCCACGCGAATTAACCGCAACAAAATCTGTGCAGCTTCGAGCCCTGAATACACTCCTCCATCTTCTTGGAATCTTGACTTACCTGAATGCGCGCCTCGGTTAATCCAATTTTCATCGCCAGCTCCTCTCTGCAAGAAGAAGGAAAGATAAAACTTTGTTAAAATGTGGAAAAAGTGGAGTGATTTTGGGTATAGAGATGATCGAAGTGCAAAAGGCCTCTCTAAAAATCTCAATGTGATGAGCTGAGCACGAATTTGTCTTTATAACATTTTTTAAAATTAATTAATAACCCGAAATCACATTCTATGTATTGCAATTAATACAAAACTTGATACTTAACTTAAATGTGCTCGTAAAAGATTATAATTAGTATTTTTATCTGCAATTCTTAAATGGGTAAGCTGAGACTCTCTCTTCTTTTCCCAAATTTCTGAACTGAAACTCTTCTCTGCGCTTCTCATTTTAGAAACTTTCTCTAAATATGTTCTTTTAATTTAATAATATCCCCCTTTCATATTTAATCCATTCTTAATAATACAAGCCTTGATAATAAACTTAATTAAGCAAATAAGAAATAAATTAGTAGGTGTAAAAAAATGTTACTGCCACTGCCCCTCTATTCGCTTCTCATATCATTGACCCAAGTTCACCTTTTCTAATCTGCTCTCAAGCCAAGCACTTGGCTGCTAATTGAAGCTTATACTGAAATCAAAAGGCGATTTGATTTATTTGCTTAATTAATTGCTGGGCATTTAAATGAACCCGCTGCCTAATGAATTGAAAAACTGCCAGCGATACGGCTAAAAGTAAAAAAAAAAATACAAAAAAAATACAAAAAAGTTGATCTAATTGTGGCTGCTATTGACCAGAGTCAAGCTTAGTTTTTTGCCTCGATTTTTGTTTGAGGCTTGAGCACTCCGTGCGGTCTCAATTAGCGTTCACTTTGGTTCCTCAACGCGACCAGTGACTGACTTTTAATTTATGGCAATTACGGCGGCTGTCTTTCGACCACATTGCTGCATGCTAATTGCGATCGTTAGAGTGATCTTAGGGCGCAGAAGGAGTTCTCTGGCTCTCTGCTCCAAATAAGATCGATCGATCCACTCAGGGGGGTCGTTGGCGTCAAGGTATTATTATTATTACCCATATTCTTTGTATCGTAAAACCAAAAATCAAGAAATGACTTTCAGGCCTTTTGTTGCCCCTCGTCGATGAGCGATTTATGCAAATTTCGTTGCCTTTCTTCTGGGTCTCGTCTCGATGCGCGGCCTGTTATCTCTCCGCCACCTTGTCATATGTTACTCACCTCGTAAACACGTCTGGATAATGGGTCCGGGAAAAGGCCTTCTCCAGCTCCTCCAGCTGAAAGCTGGTGAAGGTTGTCCGATAGCGCCTTTGCTTCCGCTTCGGTGCATACTCGTCCGCCTCGCAGTCACTGTTTCCATCCGAAATGGGACTGTTGGTTCCACCACTAGCACCACTGGGAGCACCGCCGGAAACCGTGAGCGCAGCGCCGGACGATGATCCGGGTGCTCGGTCCGCCAGGACGACGGCATCCGGATGCGCTAGCTTGGCTTCTTGCGGTAGTTCCTCCAGTTTGATCTCCGATATGCCCATAATCCACGATGGGCGACGGACTCTCGACGATGCCGCTGTTCTAACTCAATCCTGGAAGGGCGGTAACTGTGGGTACAAATAGGGATTTTTTCAGATGTTATTATTAATGGTTTGGTCATGATTTTCGCGGTTTAAAATTTAATTTCTAACTAGTAGAAAAAAGGGGAAGACTTGTCTAGTTAGTCGCGCATTAGAAGCTCGTAATTCAATAAACGCTAAACATGCAATTATCGTGCACTTTATTATGCCAATTTCCGTAATTTGCCATCTAGCCATGACCAAGTCATCGGTTGGGTCGGGACTGGCCACTCGAGGTTAGCTGCGGTTACACTAGGCAGCAGGGTTTTTGGGTTTATAAAATAGAAGTGAATGTGGAGAGGTTGAGGGATTATAAAGGGGACGAAAAGATCTTAGATACCTGTGAAAAGGCACCAAATATTTGATACTTGAATGAAATATGTTTGAAAAATGTACAAAAAATATTTATAAATTCTTTTATATATAAAAACCATTTAAAATAATTTCATTTATTAACTTTTCTAGCAGATTAATTCATTAAACATATCTTAGCATATAATTTATTATAATAACAACTGTGTTTAAAGACAGAATCTGTCACTAAAGTCATGTATCTATCAATCCTATTTCATAGATAAATCCATTAGTGATTTATGTATCTTTCAAAAACATTTTCCATGTCTTTCAAGCAATATAAAATATTGATTTATGGCTTTCGATTCCAGAAGCTATTCCCCAGAGAGCTTAGTTTTCAGTACCAAATCTCTCACCGCCAAGTGTTGGTTGGCTAACAAAACTCTACTCTCTTTTGTGGTCACGGGGAAGCGTGCCTTATGGTCATGGCTTCCACTTTACCGCACAGATTCATATTCATCTTGAGGCTGCAGCCAGCAGCAGCTTCTGCAGCTGCTGGGGATCTCTCGGCGGCCCCAATGCAAATCGATGACCACAGCATGGGGCTGTCCACCGCTGATCTCTTCCATCAACACGTCCCAGACGCTGAGTTGGGTTTATTTTACTCAACGGTTGAGGCTGCATGTGCAGATCGTTTGGAATTTTAATTAAATTGGGCGGCAACTTCATTTTCATCATCATCAACTCAACGGTCGAGCAGGAGTCAGAGCAGGAGCTGGAGCAGGAGCCAGGGCAGGAGCAGGTTTGAGCCTTGTAGCTTCTATCAGATCAAATTAATATCAGGTGCCAGTTCTCCTCGCTGAACTTGGTTCCCCAAAAACTTTTGGCTGTTGGTTAATTTCATGTTTTGCTAATTAATATACGACATCGTTTAATGACAACTAAATGGTTAGGGCCGGCGTGTAACCTTCCATTGCCGCCTGAATTTCTGAGCTGCCGGAGTCGAAGTCGGGGCCAGTGGTCAGTGGCCAGGCAGACCCTGTCCCATGACCAAAACACGGCTTGATTGATGGCCGCCGCTTCTGTTGACATCTCTACATATATCAAAATTGTCCAAATACCTTGTTAAATGGCAAATTAGTGTGGCTGTGATTGATTTAGTTGCATTCTTCTGGGGAATGAAGTTGCAAACTGGGCAAACAATCGAACTCAGACGACAGCAAGACAATGTACACTGAGAGATGTGATTGGATATTTTTAGAGATTTTTATTTGTTCTGATATTGCTTAAGAGAGAACTTGGTTTAAGCCTTTTTCCGAGAAGCTTGATATACCTTTAAAAGAGATTTTAAACCCCTAATAATATTTAAGTTCACCCCCGCTTATTATTTAATTTTAAGAAATATCTTTTCCCCAAGTGCACTTGAACTTGTTTATGGCTTTTCCCATATCTCAGCCAGAGGTTCAGGTTGAGTGGCATCTTTCCTCACCTCGACAGGGCATTCCAACTGAATCTTTCGTTCGCTTCAAACTCGAAGCCCCCGTCAGTTCATAACTCATTTTGTGGGCTCGATCATAACTTCAGTTATGAGTCGCGCTGTCAGCTTCCAATGTTGTCAACGAAATTCCTTGCATTGACAGCTGACAAACTTAATTTGCGGACCGCAAATTATTAAATTAGTTGTACGAATTGCAATTATGCTGCTCTCTTGCTCCGCGAACCCCTCCTCCTCCCAAGTGGGTTGATTATAAGACCCGCACTGATTAATTCATTGCATGCGAATCCGAAATGGGAACTGTGCGGAGTGAGGCAGCAGCTTAGACTTGGCTATGTGGGGAATGTGTGCCGTTTGGCTTTGTTGTGGAGCCGCCTTATAATTGTATCCGCGTTGCTCCGACTTACGGCTTACGACTTTATTACCCGGGCCCAGGCATCGGGCCATCGCATCGAGGAGTCCTCCGCTGATTGACGTTTCGCTGGGTAATTAAAAGGCAGTGCCAGTTGCCAGTGCCAGGTTCCCTGGAAACTGTCAGTTTTTGACGTCTTTGCCTACCGATTTGGCCTCGTCTCTCTCAGTGGCTCTGCATGGCTTCATTTAGCCATAGTCGTTGCAACTAATCAAGTTAACGCTGCACTTGCTCTGCCCAAATCCAGCACGCTCTCAGGCTCTCCAGGAAGCTTATACCGATGAGCAGGAATGAGTGGGGGGGGATTACCCCTCTCACCATCTGGCGGGGGCGATTTCGTGCCTAACGTTTTGACACACAACTCCAACGCGACTCTTAGTCCCTGCATGCTAATCAGGCCAAGCGCCAGTCCAACTGCCACCGCAGTCAGGAGTAGATCCAGTCCGAATCCGAATCTCAGACGGAGTCTGGGCTCTGGCCGTCTGGCAACTTGTTTGCGGTTGCTTGTTCCGTTTAGAGATAAGCTCCATTAGTGTCTGGGGAAATATTTAAGAGCAACATTGTAGGCTGTGTGGGTTTCCTAGCTTGGGTTCAGTCATAAAGGCACTGAGGGAAAAGTAAGTAAAAAGGGTTGTGCACCTAGAATATTTATAGGTTTTGAAAGAAAAGTTCTTTAGAGATACTTTATGGTTTCATTATTATATTAATATATTAATAATCAAATTAAAGGTGACTTAATTTTAAAATCTAGTTTTTTGTTTATAATTTTTTTTTTAATTTTTAAGCACACTGAAAACATTAGTAACAGTTATTTTATTAATAAACACTATTTATGCTCTTTTTTATTTATTTTTCTGTCAACCTTCACAACTTTCTCCCAGTGCAGACATATGGAAAATGAAGAAATTAATTCGTAATGCACGACAAGTGTACTTCTATTCGGTTGTCCACTGTCCGTCTGCTGTCCGCTGTCTTTGGCCCACTGTCCCCTGTCCGCTGTCCCCCGTCCGTTGTCCGCTGTCCGTTGTCGTCACTTCTGTCATCTCGATAAGCATCAATGTTTCTGCCCTGGCTGGCTGCTCTTTCCACAACTCAACTCCCTTGGCCCGCTGAAGACGCGTCTTCAGCTGGGCTCCTTCATGTTTTGGTGTCGTTTTTATGGTTGCACTTTTGTGTTTTTAGCTCCTCCAGCTCCTGATCTCCCTCGCGGATCCTCATCCTCGCTCGCTGGCCGCTGTCTGGGGACTGTTGTGCTGGCATATTTCATTAAAAGCCGGACGGACCGGCGGACCAGGTAGAACAGCAAAACAGAAGCTCTTTTCTGGCATTTTGTTAATGCGTCTCCGTCTCGTCGTCTCCCAGACTCCAGTTTCCATTCGAAGTCTGGAGGAGAGCCTTGTATCTGGGGCTGCTTATTTATGGGTTTACATTAGGCTAAACCACTTTAGTCACACTTTGATGATCGGCATTGTAATTTCAGAGCTCCCCCCTCACTCCTCCTTGATAATGGCAAGCATTTTGGGTGGCTCAACTTCTGGCCTTAACTCGGGACCAGCGAAAGCTCAGTCGCTTTACAGATACTCGCATCGATGTGTGGTCCCTCCCAGAAGTTGATGGATTGGACGCAGGCGAACAGCTTCCCTAATAGGCTGCTTTCGATAAGGTCAATTATTAATTTTCGAGCAGATCTTGTGAGTCACCTCGAAAGACATAAAACCGATATGGAAAGCAGCTGAGACGAGACTCTATTCCATTTAAAGCTGCACCTGAGTCTGAGTCTCAGTCAGAGCCCTTGGTCATTCGAATATTCGTTGTTCGTTGCTCGGTGTTCGGTGTTCACCTTCCCAGTTGTTGGTTGTTTGTTTCTTGGCGCCGTCTCTTGGCCCAGGTGCGATAAGGCAGCATTCTTGTTGCTGGCCAGGCGCCGTCCTCATCGTCTCGCCTCTCCATTCTCCAATCTCCATTCTCGGTTCTCCGTTCTCCGATCTGCGTTTCTGTGTGGACCTCTAATGCACACACTCCCAATTATAATTAGTTTATTCATATCCTGTGTCGAAGCTGCTGCCTTATTTGTTGTTCTTGAGGGCAATCTTAATTCAATTTACCGGCTATCTCAAGGAGATGCAACGAATAAGGGAATACTCTAACTTAATGGGGTCAAAGGGAGGAAAATAACATTGAAAAGGATTTATTCTATGCTCTGGAAAATATTCCTGAATATTCATTTAATATATAATACTCCATAAATTACTATATTATCTTAAATATAGTAATTTAAGTAGTTTTTTGATTGAAGGTTAATCTCCCAAGGCCAATTATTTAATTAAATATAATAGTGTCATTATGGGAAAATGATATTGCTCTTACATAAATGGTAATTATGTTTTTGTTAGGGATGTTTGTTGAGAATCTCAATTTGAGATGATATGTCAACAAAATTAAGGAGCTTAATTTCATACAGAAAATATCGTAAACTTTGATATTTTGAATTTTTAGATATAAAAAAATTTATATAATTAAACGTAAAATATATCGATATTAAAAAAAATATTATATTATAAATATTATCTAATCGTAAGTAATATATATCGATTTTATCGAACTAAAATAATAGAAAAATATCTTTTTTTTGTGACGTTTTCTTATTATTTTAATTAGATTTATCAATCAAAATATAAATTTATCGCTTTTATGTATATCGCCACGTTAAAATATCGATTTATAAAGCGACTTAAGAGTCACATATCAAATCAAAATTGAAATATCGATATTATCTTGTCATATCTAACTTAAGTGATCGTTTTTACTTTTGTAGAAAGGTCTTCAGGGGATATTTAACTACTTTATACTGGTTTAAAAATATTAAATTCAGAAAATTCTATTTATAATTTCCACAATTTATTTTTCACTTGTTCATCTCTTAAAAATTAAAAAGAAACCCCTTAAATTCAACTATCAATTATATTTTAAATCATTTTATAGTACTAATTCAAGATACCGCTCCTGAAAGTTATAAATTCCAGCTCGTTCTCCTATGAACCCTTTTTTTATTAGCTTGCGGGGATTTAATTTCCTTTCGAGTGCTCCAAGGGCATCCCAGCTTCGGTCGCTGGTCGCTGACCAAGTTCACCTGTGGCCACCCTAATGGAGGAGATTGCCGGGACGGTAGCCCTAAGGTAGTAGTCGCAGGTTGTGACTCAGGCCTGGAGTCAGAGACCAGACAGACACCAGTCCCTGGTGATGCTTCTTCAAGATGCGGGGCCAATTACTCATAAAATGCATGTTAAGGAACAGCAGTCGAGGCGAGGAGCTATCAAGTGGGTTTAGGGCACCTGAGGAGGGTGAGGATTGGACAACTGTTGCCCGACGCCATCCCCATCTCTTCTCCATCCGCTCTGCCCTTTGTCATTGTCTTGTGCGGTTTGATAAGCGAATCCCAGGCAGACGTTGGCGCTGGGCAATTTGGAGACGACGTTGATTTCCCATGTTTGCATGTTCCTCCCGAAGAGGGAACAGGGGGCAGAGGAATTAATGAAGCACATCTCAATGGGGCCTGGCGCCATCTTTACCAGCAGCAGCCCAACTATAGGTCTCTCTCTCTCTGTGTGTCGGGGGGTGTCATCATCCAGAAACCACCCTTCAAAGACAGCGCCCAATTCGGAGTTCGTGTTCTAAAGATACGAGTTGTATCTGTGGCCCAATCTCGGGCTATCTGCGTATCTTCTGGCAACAAGTTTTAATTGTATGTCGCCATAATTGAATTGAACTGCGTGGAAGTCTACAGAAAACATATTTTAATTTTGAGGCCACATATCTAGCAGCGAGGATCTGGCCCCAATATCTCTCGGGGAAGATTCTACCTCAGAGATACCCAGATATCTCTGCCAGGTATTTGCGTCACAGATGCTCTGTCACATGGTTATAATTATTAATTAAATCAGTGGAGTCCAAGTGGCGCGATTATCACCAGGAAGGGAAGTTTGGGTGGGTTCCCAGTTTTCAGTATCTAACCCCACATATCTGTCTATATTTGTGTTTTCCTCGAGGCTAGAGGCTCTCGTCCACGTCAAAAATTCAAGTGGTCAGGGGGCTTTTGACACGATTATCGTCGATTGATAGCCCCGGCCAGTTAATTTCATTTATTCTGTAGGTACAAGCACTAGCCCCTTTGAAAAAATTGAAAATTGGAAAAACATCAGCTAGACAAAACGTGATTTATTGGCACTGACTGCGCCGCTGACAATTTGTACTCTTTAATGGTGTTTAATTAAAGCCAATCAGCGATAAAGCCATCGGGGGCTATCAGCAGGAGCCAAAGTCTTCACCAAAATTGAGTTAATCAAATTCTTATTCCGCCAGCGATGGACTACTGATACTTGTCTGATTTGATGTGTCCAGGTTGGGAATTAATCAAATTTAATGATATTTAATTTTGGTTTTACTTTTTTTTTCTGATTCCTCCAACCTTAAGGGGGTCGATTGTCCAGATTAGGCAGGGGGAATTGTGAAATAAGTATATATATTTATGGCTTATATGTACTTGTAATATTTGTCAATCATGCTGAGAAGTGGGTTAGGTTCCAAGGTGTGATTTTAGGGGGAAGATTTTAATCTGAGTTTTTGGGGGTAAGGTAAGATCCGATTTGGGTTAGGAATATGGGGGATTTTCAATATGAAAATGAAGATCAGAAAGAATAGATAGTAAAGGGGAGGATTGTTAGCTATTAGCTTGGTATTTCAGGTGTTTATATTCTAATAAAGAATGTTATCTTTACAAGAAGTAGGAATTAAGATAAATAATAATATCATACATATTTTAAACTGAAAAATTATTGATTTGGGTATTTCCTTAAAAACTATAAGACTTGCAAAAACAAAAATAAGTAATTAATATCTTTTTAAACCAGCAAAAATATTTGTTTACCTTTAAAGATATGTAAATTACAACATAATGAAGTTTAGGATTAATATTTATTACATTTTTATTTATATATTAATTTAATATAGTTTAAATAAACTTTGAACCACCTATAGTCTCAAGTTTAAAGCTTCGTAAATAAATAGGAAAAAGAGCACAATGGTTATAAGTCGAACAAGTTTTATATGGGGATACTTTAGGGCCTATTTCGGGGCTTAATTTTACATATAATTTTTTGTAATATATGTGTATCTATATTTTGTAAATTTTTGTATATATTTATATATTTTATATATGTTCTTGATATAAATATTCTTAGAAATCTAGGAAAACTAAACCCTTCTGATTTAAAAGAAAGAAAACTCACCTTTTATTTTGCTTTCTGAATAACTGTCTCCGTCTAAGTATTAAATCTTCTTGGAGACCTCTTCAGATGATATTTGTATTTAAAACTATGTATTCTTTTCCTTAATCTTGCTTGGTCTGTGCCTCCACCGGCTTTGTAAGCCTCTCTCCCAATATCACACCAACCGCCACACTTGCCGACGGTCTTTGTGCACTCCGTCAATCAATCAAGAAATCAGAAATCTCAAATCAGAAATCCGAAATCAAAGGTTTATGCCTGTCCACTTCGATCGGGGTTTAACTGGGGAATACACCTATTGAAACTATAGTGGAAACTATACTCCCAATTGGCCACAACTTCGCGCACTCTGCGGCACAAAATAACGATATATTCGAAACGAAGGGGAACCGAACGCCACAACAACGACGACGACGACGACGATGATGATGACCGGGCTGTTTCAGTGCCGCCAGCGAACTACACGGCGAGCAATCGTCGGTCGCACCGGTGAAAACTCAGGTGGGCTCCGGGTAGGTAACCAGTTTTCTCGGCTGTCAGTTGGAGTTTGCCGAGGAGAGCGGAGGAGAGCTCTAAACATATATAGCTTACAGTCGGCCGGAGCGAGAGGGAGCTATGCGATCGGAGCGTGTCGATCGATCGTCGCAGGTGTTGCAGGTGGGGCGGCAGGTGAGCGGAGGTGAGCTCCGCCCCTCCAGCACGAGTGCGAGCGAGAGCCTCCTGGCAGAGACTCAGCCTATGGGAAGCCTTTGTTCTGCAGAGCGAAATAATGGCGGAGAAGCGCCTCAATACCTCTCTCTGTCGCTCCCATTGCACCCCATCTCTCTCTGGCTTAACCGAGGTAATTGAATAAGCCCCGGCACAAAGTGCAATAAATTTGATTAGCAAAATGGAAATTTATTTGCCCCCAGCTCTTGGTTTTTTCTTCGCTGCCTCCTCGGGTTGCCATAGATGCGTTTGCGTTTGCAGTTGTTGCGGCTCATAAATTAAATAATTTAGCCAAGACATGTGGAGAAAAGTGTTGGGGTGCTGGGAGTGGGGGTATAAATAGTATGGGCCATACGGAGAGAGAACGTTAGCCGGTGTGTTAAGGGTCTCGTTAATGACTTTGTTGGCTTTATTGGCTGATTACCGGAGCTGGACACAGTCGTAGACTGTCTTGTTTACCCTTTAACTGTCAGTGGAGAAGGGGGGGTGTCAAGTGGGGGAGATGCAATGACCCATGGGAAAGGGTTGTAAAGGGAATAAAAGTGAATAAATGTGAATAAATGTGAATAAATGTGAATAAATGTGAATAAAGAGAGTTGTAAAAATGACTCAAGTTCAATTAGGGGGTTTCGTTAGCCTTACTTTGAGGGTTAGTACAGGAAATTATTATTATTCTTATTGATACTTAACAAATTGATGCATTTTTTACCCTTGGAGGGTATTATAATATTAGTCAAAAGCTTTCAAACCTGTGAAGGAGTCATTTCCGACTATATAAATCATATATATTCTTGATCAGCATCAACTGGCTAGTCTTTCTAGTCATGTTAAAAAGAATACAAAATTTTGACAGTTTTTCAACATTTTATAAGGGGTTACATCATCAAAATTGTCAAAAATAGCGCCAAAATTTAATTTTAAAAATTTGAAAACTTGATAAGCTGATTTATTTATCTAATTAAAACTAAGAGAGAACTGCTTTCCGATTTGAAATTAATGCTTATTCGGCTTAGTTATGATAGATTTTTTATAAAGACTTTTTTATAATTGTTTAAGAACTGTTGACTCAATTAAGATTCTTTAAACTAATTTTTTGTCTCATATCTACCTTTTTGGTTACATAATTCTAATTCTAATTCATAATATATGCTTCTTTAGTATAAAACAAAGGGTAATATTTCCAATACCAATTTCAGTTTCCCTTATAGTTTCCACTTCTTTATTCCTTAATATAATTAAATTCAATGAAAACTGTTTCCCACTCTCCCAGAGAGTCAAACTCCTTGCCTGGTCTTGCCATTTCCGAGACGGACCTGACAGATTCCATTCCTTGATAACTACTTCATTAGGCCTGATATAACCGAGCCTTATACATCGACAGCTCCGCTCAGCTCAGCTCGACTCGGATCGACTCGGCTCCATTCCATTACAGTTGGAAGCTGACCCCCACTTGTCGTCCGTCCTGCTGGTCTCTACCCTGGTCGGATGTAGCCCAATTTGCTCGTATCGCAAGGCAATAAATAAAGTGTTAATGGCAATTGCATACAAATAGTTTGGTGTTGCCATTATATTGCCATATTATCCCATTGTCGGGCCTTAACAAGAAGCAAACAATGCGACGCGCTTGGAGTCGGAGTCGCAGTCGGAGATCGACGACTCGCTGCACTGCAGCCAATTTCACGCTTCATTTACAGGCGAAATGCAAACAAAAGACCGGCGACCAGAGACCGTCGAGGAGTGACCATTTGGCCGACGGGTTCAATGGACAGCAGGTCGAACTAAAACCGGGATCCGGGATAGGGAATACTGAGTACTGAGCATTGAGCAGACTGAACATCGAGCAGACTGAGCACGGTATCTCGTCCCCATGTGGCCGTGTCAATCAGCTCGTCGCGCAAGGTGTGCACTTGTTATACCGAGTACTTGAAGAGGGCAAAGGGTATATGGGTTTTTAGTTTAACAAGGAGATATAGAGCACTAAGTGCGGATGAAATTTCAATTATTTCCTCACACAAATGTCTTAAAATCCAAGTTATACCCGCTCTTTATTTTTCTTATTTATCCTATGACTCTCCAAAAGTGGCTTTTTGTGTGCAAAAATCATGGAATAATAGTATTCCCAATCCTACTAAAAGGTATCAAAAGGTCTCTTTACCCCCATCTCCTGCATTCTTCCCCGTTTTGGACTCAATACGGATCCACTCCTAGGCCTGCTCTCGTCCAGCTCCGTTCCCGAGCAACATGAAGCCTCGAAGTGAGAGAGTCGCGCATGCGCGCACGTCCTAATGTAATTATTATCTCAACAATTGAATTTCCGGTCCCGACTTGGACTGCTGCCCAGAGTCCGTAGTCCGGAGACTCTTGGCTCTTGGCTCTTGGCCTGGCTGTGAATCCACTCTCCTGCACATGGGACAGATGTCGCGCAAAACGTTACAAATGTGCACTTAATTGCGCAATTAAATAATTTTATTTCTGCTGCGCGTTTCCTTGGTCCTCACCTCGCACCGCTCTGTCAGTCTGACTGACTGCCTGCCTGCCTGCCTGCCGGACTCTTTCTCCGAGGCTTCGATAGCAAACAAATTGCAGCCAAGTGGCTTAGTCCAGTCCGTTTGGCCAAGTCCGCTCCCTATCGGCTGTCCGAGGTGTCTTATTCATTATGGCCATTATGCAGCTTAGATAGAAGCATTTACCATCGCCAGTTGCAGGTTGCCAGTTGCCATTTGCCAGCTGCAATGGAGGTGAATTGGGTAGGAGAACATAGTCTTGGGGGATATCTATTGGGATGCGGGAAATCTCAGATCATCTTTTGGGGTATTTTTGAGTGTATATATAAGCTATGAGGGGTTTATCCAACTTTAAACCGTATATATTTGTTTCTACGTGCTTTTGCTTTTTCTATTTTGCTTTTTAGAGGATATAGATAATTTATTCCCAAAATTTACAAAGTTCTTTGCATAACATATTATTTTTTAATAAGATTAACATAAAATTTTTTATTAAATTAATGAAACTTTCCTACTTTCCCTTCTCATTTCACTTTAAACTTAAAAATATCAGCACTTTCTGCTTTTTCTGCGAAGTGCTTTTGTGGAATTTACCCCCGAAAATGTTACCCAATTACAATTGCTTTGGCATAGATTTCCCTCTAAGTCACCCACACTTTTTCCCCCCCTCTTTGCTTATTTTCCCAAAAATAATATAAAAAACCTAGACCCAAGGCTGTGGAAAACGCAACTGTAAACGATACCAAATTATATTTAATTACGTGCGATTAGTTAGGGTTACTGGAGTCGCGCGATGAAATGCCGTCGATAAGGCCCCGCCCGTCACCCGGCCATAAATAGTACGCCCAACCAGGCCCAAAACCAGCCAGCCATCCCAGCAACTATATTACATTATAGTAGCAACTATCCCAGGGCCCCGGCATTAATTCAATTACAAATGGCTGCGGTTCACTCAGCGAACAGCGAACGGGGAACGGCGGGCGTGTGACATAATCACCCAACAAAACTGTCGCCCGATGGCTAATGGCTGGGTACTGGCAGGGTATAGACCTTCTTGGCCCTCCTCCTAGACCATTATTTGGTAATTTGATACGACGATTTGTCGTGGCTTTCGGTTGCATTTTCACTCAATTGTCGTGTGTAAGCCGCCGCCCGAAATTGACTTAAGCGGAAGCGAGTTATTAACTGGTTTATGCAACCCAAAATCGCCAGATTTCCAGTTGCCGATAAGAGTCGCCTCTGCTTGGCTGATTATGTATATATGTATACACTCGTTGGTACACATTCCTGGCCAATAAGCAGGCGGCAATTAAAACGAAAGCCAAGTAATTTCATTTGTTCGTAAATCTAATTGTGGAAACTCTCTCATGGCCCCGTGGATTTCCTAAAAATGTGAAATGCCTTGGTAATTAGTGCGTGTACCGACTGTGGTCTTAATTGCTCCTCCTGGAATTCCGTCATAACTCCACGTTTTTATAAATACATATATTTTTTTTCGAACGTTTTGTTCGTTGAATTTGGCAAAAACAAAAAAATAAGAACGGTTAAACTGCATGTTTCTGGTTAATTCGAGTTTAATGCACATCAATTAAAATTATTAAATTTTATCTTTATATTGTTTTGAGTGAATTAAATATAATTATAATTTCCCGAAACCAATTGTCTGCTCGTGGACAGTTAAAAAATAAAATAAACATTTTTGAGAATTAATGTTTAAGGCTCGAATAAAATGTCGATTTTTTATGTAATCAATTTTTGTCTGTAATTATTTTTGTTGGTGGCAAATGAGGCATTTTTTAAACGTTTAATGGTTTAACTGGTTTTAAATTGTTTCTCTTTGAACTCAGACAGGTGTGTAAAGTAAAATTAAGCATTCTTTAAAATGTTAAATAAATGTTAAAACTTGTAATTCTTTGTAGAAAATGTTAAAGCAATAAAAATAGTAGAGTTCGTAATTAAATAAAGCTTTTATTTGCAAGTTATCATTTATAATATTTAGCCTTTAATATTTTCATAGCCTTAGATCATATTAACTTGTTATAATATTTAATATTATTATCCCCAATCAACATTCTTCTAATGCTTCTACCTTAAAGGTGACCCCTAATCTTTATATAGACGTCATCACCTTTGTCTTATCTTCCCCATAAATGGGTTAGACCTTCCCTTCCGTCCCGGCATGAGTGTCCAGTTCGGTTTCCCTTCCTCTCCACTGGCAGCTGTCGATGCTTTAGGCTCTCCTTTGGTCTGGGAAACAGATCTTCGCTTATCCCTTTTTGCCATCCTTTTTCTTCCTCGCCGCTCGACGATC